AATGCTCCCTCTAAGCTGTGGAGTCTTGTGAGCAAAAATTCTACTTTGTGAGCTACTGGCATTAAAGTTGTGAGTGAGCAATTTGGCTCCTGCATGAATTAGTTTGCTCTGGAGCCCTCCTTCCTGAGCTAAGGCAAAAATGTGTGAGCTGGAGGCTAAAAAAACTGTGAGCTAGCTCACACTAACTCAGCTTAGAGGGAACACTGGTGCAGAGCTTTATCAATCCAGGAAGTTTTTAAAACAAGCTCCACACACAAGGGGAGGAAGGAAGCCGGAGCTGCCAGGGCACAGAAACCACCTGTGTCCGATATAGTCAAACTGCAATTTGTCCCAATGTTACTGGATCCCCTAGTGCTAGCAGAAAAACCAGTTTGTATTCACTGAAAGTTTCTTAGCACTAAGCACCTCAGAGAAGTAATCACAATCCTTCCACTGGTGCTACAGTCCTTACATCCATATCATACATGCTCTCATCTCCACCCCAACAAAAATCCATGTCCTTTATCTCTTCACGCTTTAAAAACGACATCTTTGAAGTATCTCTTTTTAAGCCATGTGCAACCTCTCCCAGACATGAAATTCATTGACAAGAAAACTGTATTTCTGTTTTGATCTACGCAGGGCTCTTTTTGTAGAAAAAGCCCAGCAGGAACTAATTAGCATAATAGGCCACACCCAACAGCAGAAACTCATTAGCATATTAGGCCACACCCCTGACAGCACAGCTCATTAGCCCATTAGGCCGCACCCCCATGTTACCAGAAGTGTGGTTATCCAGCCACACCCACCTTTTGCTTCTTATTCTGTTTACCTTGTTTGTTGTCAAAACCAAGGGCTCTTTTGTAGCAGGAACTCCTTTGCATGTTAGGCCACACACTCCTAATGTAGCCAATCCTAATGAGTTTCTGCTGTTGGGTGTGGCCTATTATGCTAATGAGTTCCTGCTGGGCATGGCCAACTTGGGAGCCAGCCGGAACTCCGTTCCTGTGCGTTCCTGCCCAAAAATAGCCCTGATCCTAAGGAACAGGTACGCGTTACATTTCGCTATCACAGCACTAATGTAAAGAATCAAAAGAGACAAAACAAAGATCATTCATAACAGGTAATAGCGCAGATTGGGACTATGGGAGGAGGGAAGATGGGATCCCTTCAACTCATGCTCATTTATGCTAATGGAAACCCAGCCCGCCGCCCCCATTTTATTAGTTTTTAAAGGAAAACAAAGATGTAGAAAAACAGAGGTCTTTTCGTTTAAGAACACTTTAAATCGCCACAGAGCACGCTTTCAGGTACAAGGTTTTGGTGCTAACATTTAAGGCCCTAAACGGTCTGGGACCAACCTATCTACGGGACCGCTTCTCCTGGTACACGTCCTGAAGAGCATTACACTCTGCAGAGAAGAACCTCCTGGGGTTCCCTGGCCCGAAAGATATCCAGTTGTCCTCAACTAGAGCTAGGGACTTTTCGGCTCTGGCACCAGTTAGGTGGAACCCTCTGTGTAATGACATCCGGACCCTGCGGGACTTAAGACCTTTTACAGTTCTGCAGGGCCTGTAAAACGGAGCTCTTCCACCAGGCCTTCGATTAGGAGCTGCCACTGACGGATGAGCCATTGGAACATACTATGGCCCTTAGTGTTATCACCGTGGGATGCCACTTTCTTCTTGGATCATGTTTAGAAACTGCCACCATCTGTATTGTCTTACTTGCACTTTATGATATTATGGGAGTTTTACTGTATTCATTGTTTTATTGTATTTTATCCCGTGTAAGCCACCTTGAGCCAGTTTGCCCGGCAAGGCGGGATATAAATGGAAAGTAATAAATAAATAAAATAAAGGGCATAAACATAGAATCTGGAGGCAAGGATCTGAGGCCTACTTGACAACGGCAGAGGTGATGGTAAACTTGTTCTTGGTCTTCATCACTATAAGGGAATGGGGGGCTTGTAGGACTGAATACCTCTCCTCGTTCAAGATAGCATGAGGAAATAAAATTAGATATCTGACAAAGGAGCTCAAGGTTTCCTGCCCTCCCAGGAAGAATCTCCGCCCCTTAAAGTCCTGACAGTCCAGGAAGAGCTGTTGTTTTTTTAAGCCCCCCGTAGGGGATTTTTTATTGCATTTCCTATAAACTACAAAAGAACAAGGGAAGGTGTCTACAAACTATGGGTGAAAGTAAAGAAAACTACTAAAAACCCAAGAGATGGAGGTTATACAATGCTTAAACAAATTAGCTTTGACTTTTTTTAACAAACCAAATTTGTAAACGTTGAAAGTGATCTTCAAATCCTTTGCTTATGGTATCCAATCCAGCAAATTTGACTATACAAAGAGTAATACAAAAGCTCAATTATTAAACCGCTTTAGGTCCAGGAAGAGTTTTATCATCTCGTCTGCTGTTTTTGTAAGCTAGGCCTTAGAAGATGATAGAATGAGAGTCTCACAAAGCTAAAACACAAAAGATTGCTAAAAACAACTAGGGGATGTCAAATATAGTTAGTTTGAGATATATGTTCCTGCCTTCACAGCTTTAGCTGCATCTCCAAGCAAACCTGAAAGTCCCAGAAATGGATGGTGTGTTAATTCCCTTGATACCTTCTCTGTCCCCTGGCAAAAGCCCTCATATTGTGCCAAAACACCTGCAGAGCATATTGATGCGTCAATCCTTTCTTCCTTCTACAGCAGAAATTCTTCCATGCTACAGGCAGACCACCTCTGCCACTGTAGAAAGAAATTACACGGTTTTACTTTCTAAAGGCCAGGCTGCTGATGGGTCTTCCTAGTAGGGACCACATCCGGCCTGCTCTGAAAGCACTGCACTGGCTGCCGATAGCGTACCGGATTCGCTTCAAAGTGCTGGTTCTTACCTTTAAAGCCCTATATGGCCAGGGTCCAGCATACCTAAGGGACCACCTTTCCCCATATGTTCCCCTGCGGGCACTACGGTCAGGGACGCAACATCTCCTGACGATGCCAGGCCTCAAGGAGGCCAGGCTGGCTGCTACCAGGGCCAGAGCCTTTTCGGTGGCGGCTCCTACCTGGTGGAACGAGCTCCCGGAGGAGATCCGGGCCCTGCGGGACCTTGCGCAGTTCCGCAGGGCCTGCAAGACGGAGCTCTTCCGCCAGGCGTTTGAGTAGGAGCCGCCACTACTGTACCATCACTATCTGGCCCTGGAAGAGACACGCGAAACTGACGGCACGGAGTGGGTATACCAGCGTTCAGACGTCATCTTTATGGAAGATCATATGGAACATCTAGAGCACTTAATAATAATGTTGTTATACTGTAATAATGATTTTAAATGGTTTTAATGTGTTTTATGTGTTGGCTTATGCCTGACTGTGAGCCGCCCTGAGCCCGCGTTGCGGGGAGGGCGGGCTATAAATTGAATTTATAAATAAATAAATAAAGTAAGCAACCATTCTGCATAGTGACACAACAGACCAGCAAAATTCCACACTTATGCAACTCTTCCCTCTGCCACCATGTACATTTGAAGTAATTGTTCACATCAAGTGGAGAGGGGGGGGTTAGCAGTCACATTTCTGTAGCATGGGATTCCATAATGGAAGCCAAATGATTAGACTGCCTGTGTAGTGACATACAATTCTAAACTGTTCAGCTTACAGGATTCACCACCATACTATCTTAACAGCCTCTGCCATGGACACCAAATGTTGTCCACATACAAATAGCAAGAGGAGACCAATGAAGAGCTGAGTGTACATATTTAGGGACATCTCAAGACAGAATCCACTTGGACTGTCTCACTTTCAACTTGCAGATGGAATGGAATCATTTTGAAGCATTCGCCCAAATAAAAGCTTCTGCAGGTAGCCCATTAAAGGGAAACAATACAACACAGCTCTCTCCTTCATGTTCTAACTTCCTATGTGCATGCTGTGCATATGTGCATGGAGGAGCATTCAAACACAATCTCCCACTCATATCCTGAAGCAACACAGTAACAGAAAGAGTCTATCATATTTCTTTCCCGATTGCGCAGAACTTCGGGCTGATCTACACAAAGCATGCCAAGGAGTTGAGATCAGGGTTCCACATCCCTCAGCGAGCATCTTATCCTGTGACCAGAAATCATGGCGAAGATTAAGCCTCCTCAGGGGAGAGTTTGTAACGCGTGTGAAATTCTCAGTGTAATCCTTATCAGAGTTACACCCATCCAAGTCCCTTGAACTCAATGGGCTTAGAATGGTAGAACTCCGCTTAGCATAGCAGTTAAGTCTTTCATACAGAAATGATTTCTGTTGGACTTTGTGACCTCTGTATAGTACATCTCCTACTGTGCTTGTTATTCTTTGGAGTGCCCATCACCACGTAAGGAAACACAGTTTTGCCCTAGCCCTTTCATCTGTAAATCACTTCTGCATTTTGGTTTGGAGAGTCACAAAATGCCACATCTGATTTTTTTATTTTTAGTTAGGGGAACCCAACATTATTTCTACACCCCCAGGAGTTCATTGTAGATGTAGAGGCAATTCAGGGCTAAATGTACACAGGAAAGCAAGAGAGAAGAGGAGAATGTTTTAAGGGCTCCTTTCTCAAAACACATAAGCTGCTCACCTCTATTGTAGGATCGTATTCATCAACAAAATGGTTCTGGATAAGTTGAATAGTCAAAGCACTTTTCCCAACGCCACCGGCTCCAACCACTACGAGCTTGTATTCCGTCATCTTCTGGCCAACCCCAACTCAGGGTTCCCTCTCAACACAGCCGCCTGAGGGAAGAGAGAAGAATACAAACATAAACTTTGATACACATTTATTCTCCTATTTACTTGCGCCTGCTCCTTGCCACCATAACAGCATCGGGAATATTGATGCAAGAGTATTTGAGACAAAGCAGGAATAACTCCAGCAAAGGCGCTGGGGCAGAAAGAAAAGGTTACTGACATTCAGGTTCATCAAGCAATATAAGACCTAATCAGTTATGCACTGTTTACACGATATAGACCCGAACAGCCCATTGTACATCTCTCCCCCCCACACACACAGAAAAACCTAAAAACATCAAAAGGAATTAAAGTCCTTGCACAAATACGTAAGTTGGGCAGAGTGAAATATGCAGAAAGCAGTGAATGGATATTATTCGTCCAGGTAATTAGTACTTGTTAGTTTACTTTAAACATATTGCCAGCATGGTGTAGTGGACACAATTCTATGCCTCGCTTAATTATAACATGCCACAGCAAGCAACAGCTCAGTAGTAAAGGACACGATTTGCAAGCAATGCTCCCTCTAAGCTGTGGGGTCTTGTGAGCAAAAATACTGCTTTGCGAGCGACTGGCGTTAAAGTTACGAGCAAGTGATTTGGCTGCTGCATCAATTAGTTTGCTCTGGAGCCCTCCTTCCCTGAGCTAAGACAACAATGTGTGAGCCAGAGGCTAAAAAACCGTGAGCTCACTCACACGAACTCAGCTTAGAGGGAACACTGTTTGCAAGCTAGGATTTCAAGGTCAACCCCCAGCACTTTCAGTCCTTACCAGGTGAGCTTCGATTAGGCACACCTCATAAACTCTGCAGTGATGGTGGGCAGATCTGAATGCCCAGGAGAAAGATGGATCTGAATGGTCTCCTGATGGCTCTTGAGAAAGTTCCTGTTGACATGGCTTTCAACGGTATGGAAGAACTCTGAAATCAGGAGACCCAATGCAATTGCTCCCAGGCATCTGCTTGGCTGTGCTGGGGCCTCTTTGACCCCATGATGCACAGTTGATTGCGGAGATCTTAAGTGCAAGGGGCAATTATTAGAACAACAGCAGCTAGGGCTATTGTTAAACAAAGAATATATGAGACCGAAAGGCAAAGTGATATTGCTAAGGTGTCGAATTTGTTGGCCCCAAAGGAAGCAAAATATATAGTTGCTCCCACAGTGAATTTATCACTATTAGAGATTCCCTCTCACTGCAGGGCATACTCCCTGGCACGATGTAACATCTATCCTTCGGCCATGTTAGAAGGCCTGTATAAAAAGGTACCTTTGTCTGAGCAACTATGCCCGTGCGGTTCAGGGAAAGGTGAAACAACTGAACATATTTTACTCCGCTGTACATTTTATGAAATTATTCATGCTGTTATAAAAAGGTACCATGGATACTTGGACAAGGAAATAAGTAGGAAGCTATTATTTGATCCTGCTCCACAGATCATAATAAATTGTGCTAAATTTCTAGCAATAGTCCACCTCACTGGCTTGTTGTCATTCCTCATCAAAATAGTTCACATAGCTTTCCTATTCAGAAAGACTGGATCATGAGGACATGAATACATTGATAAACCCCAAAAAATATGTGCTGCACATGTAGTACAATTTTAGAAAGAATCCAGAAGATTTAGGAGATGGGGAGTAGAATTGTATAACCCCTATGATACTTACTCAACAGTTGAATAACAGTTGTTAGAGTATTGTAGAAATTTAGAGTTTTAGTAATTTTGTAATTAACATATGTAGATTACAGTTTTACATTTAAATATTTTATATATATTATTGGTACCCTTTTTAGCAGATTTACACTTATATTCTCGTGAGTCATTTTTTCACATCGTCTTATTCAACCATATATACCGTTTTCCCCATCTTTTCTCATACACATCCTGGTCTTCCCTTGTAGTATTAAACTTAACCTATCCATTTTCGCCAACCATAACAGTTTCTCTATCAGTTCCTCCTTTGAGGGTATTATATCTGATTTCCAACATTTTGCTAACATTATTCTTGCCACTGTAAAAAATATACATTATATATATTTTTTCCTTATTATATTTTTCTGGAAATATATTTAATAAACATATTTCTGGTATAAACTGTAACTCTAATCCTGTTATTTCTTTCACTGTATTATATATTTTGCACCAATATTTTTGTACTTTTTCACATCTCCACCACATGTGAAAATACATGCCGACATTTTTTGGAAAGAAAGAAAAAGAAAGAAACACTACTTCCATGCGACTGCTGTGACTGTGAAGAGCTGTCCAACAATGCTGTTTAGTGTTATAAGAGGTGTTTTACATTCCGGACCCCGGGAACCAAACAACAGAACCCTGCACGGCGCGGTGTAACCACTATGATAAGCACTTTGCATTCTACCAGACAACCTCCATCTTCCAGAACACGGATTTTTGGGTAAGGGCTGCTATTTCCTGGACTGCATTAAAAGACACATCACCTTTCTCAAGGAAGCCCTTTCTCAAGTGGTACCTTTAGGACCAGGTTTTATTCAGGTATAAGCTCTCCCTCCTCTGCGAGGACAGATATGCACGCCCCCCCCCCCAAATAGCTAGCAATCCAAAACAGTCCAGTGGAGCCTAAGTGGTGGGTGTTGCCTTCTGACACACTTCCGGTGATGTCAGGGGGTGTGGCATATGCAAATAAGTTATGCTAATGAGTTATGCTAATAAACGCCTGCTATAACATCTAGCGAACAGCCATTAACGGCTGTTCGAGACCCACCACGGCCGGGGTGAGCTCCCAGCCCTAGTCCCAGCTCCTGCCCACCCAGCGGCTCAAAAGCATACTTGCGAGTAGACAAAGTGGGTACCTGCTCTAGGGGGCAGGGGGCACCCTCCTCCCCGTGGGGGGGCGTGCAGCAGACGGCAGCGGCGGTGAAACAGCGATGGTGAGATGGCCTGACGACCCAGCGAAGCATGCAAGCAGCGGAGCCAGACGGAGGCGGAGCTATGGAGGCGCGGTGACATGCGGCGCGGCGGAGCCAGTCGGACAGAGCCGAGGCTGCAGCCGGCACGTGTCCGCGCTCTACAAGGAGGCCGCCGGAAGAAGCCGCTGAACATAAAAGACGAGCTCCAAAGGCGCCAGAAGGAACAACGCCGGAACAACATCTATAACCCCGAAGCCTGCCGGATTAAGAAACCGAAAAACACCTCCCCTGTTAATGTGGCCCTAGATAGGCAACGTAATCATATGTCAACCGTTGCCTTCTGACACACTTCCGGTGATGTCAGGGGGTGTGGCATATGCAAATAAGTTATGCTAATGAGTTATGCTAATAAACTCCTGCACCTCTTTTTCTACGAAATGACCCCTGGTCACAGCTATTACATTAAAAAATCTGTTTTATGGGTTTACCATTTAGGGGACAGATTTAGTAATGACTCAGCCCTACCCCACCTTCCTGAGTAGATATAAATTACCTGCCTACCATTTTTCTTCTCACCTTGACACAGAGAGTACTCCATCTTCCTGTGTTATACCTCTGAGGATGCCAGTCACAGCTACTGGCGCAACGTCAGGTTCTACAATGCCAAGACCACGGCCGCACGACCCGGAAAATCTACAGCCACTAATAAATTGTCTTCTGATCATAACGCATTCTGGTGTGTTGGTTACCTAGCCACTGTCCTGTTTTTCTCATACCGACCTTTTAAGACTTTTGCTTTCCGTCAGCATGATTGATATTAACACAATTACACAGGTAATATAACAAATACATACAGTGTTAAGCTGACAGTGGGAGTAAAAGTATCTTGACCCGGCTGGGATTTAGGGATCAAGTACAGATGGCTCCGTACGGGCAAGTTATGTGTTCAACAGGGCTATTTTGCTCATGACTCTGTTTCAGGTGAAATAATGCTGACTGCTTTAAATCTTTCCCCTTCTGATTTTAAAAAGTTTTATTTATGCAAGAGGAAAGAGTATTCACCTCTTGCGTCAGCTAAAACGACTCGGGTCTGTACTCTGGAAGACCATGAAGGTTTTGAAGAGACTGTGGACTCAATATAAGAAGCTGAGGATTCGGGTAATACAGAATAATTTTTGCTCTATGCTAATGAGTGGTGGGACTTAAAAGAAATCAACCCTGACTGTTCCCTGGAAGGCCAGATAATGAAACTAAAGCTCAAATACTTTGGCCACCAAATGAGAAAGGAGAACTCCCTGGAGAAGACCCTGATGCTGGGAAAGACTGAAGGTCAAAGAAGACGGGGACGGCAAAGGATGAGATGGTCAGACAGTGTCATAGATGCAACGAACATGAAGTTGAGCAAACTTCAGAGGACGGTGGAAGATAGGAAGGCCTGGCGGGAGCTGGTCCACGGGGTCGCGAAGAGTCAGACTCGACTGTGCAACTGAACAACAAAAAATGAGTGGTGGGACTGTGGTGAAGGTCTGGATATGTTCCCCCCAGGACTATCGGTCCTCGGAAGGAGGGTTTCTACCCTCCTGACCTTTGAGGCCTCTGAGGACTGAAGTTAATTATAATTATAATTTAGTTCAAGACCAATTTGTTAATACATTGTAAATTACTATAATGAGCTCAGATTGTTTGAAAACTTTATAAATATTATTTAGTGATAAGTTTGGGAGAAGAAAGAAGAGGGAAAATGAAGAAGAAGATGTGAAGATAAAGCATGCATGTGGAGTTTTGTTTTTTATACTATTCATTGGTTTTGGCGGTGTAGTACAATGATAAAATTCTTTCTTCAATAAAATTGCGTTAAAACCTTAAAAAGAGAAAGAAAAAGCCATAGCCGACTTACAGCGACCCCATAGGGTTTTCAAGAAAGGGAACGTTTAGAGGTCAATTGCCATTGCCTGCCTCTACACGACAACCCTGGACTTCCCTGGAGGTCTCCCATCCAAATACTAACCTGGGCCAACCCTGCTTAGCTTCCAAGATCTGATGAGATCGGGCTACCCAGGGCCATACAAGCCAAAGCATTACATTGCTGTTAATTCAGCTGTATTTAGGAATGCA